ATACCGCCGAACTGGTTAACGCCATCCGCTTCGATGCGATACTGGAAAAAGTCCTTAGAAAAGGAATGAAGAAAATTAATGGTAAAAAAGTAATGGTAAAAATTGATGATAAAAGACTGTTTTGCTCTAGTGACGTCACACTTTTTTGCTAGTTGCATTATGGTATTGATGAAAGTATATCGAGATGGTGGATGTCATTATAAATTACGAAAGGGACGATGATTCTTGCCAAAGAAACGCTGTGAAAAGATCATCAATAGAAACTTTGGAATAGCATTAAATGGGATAACTAAAAAAAACAGTCTGAAACATCAGAAGAACGAAGGGAAAATAATAATGATAATATRAAAAATCATGTTTGAAACCAATTCCATGGTGCATCTCGCATCTGTCAATACGTGTACACCACTGTTAGAGCAGAGATTGTGATTTGATGAAACAAGAAAGAGAGACAGGCAATGCAAAAAACGAAGATGTCCAGTAGGACAATAGACATTGTTTGACATAATCCTATAATTTTTGTCTCGATCAATGACAAGCTTCGTTCTGATGGTAGTGGTCGACCCAATACGGGAAAGGATCATAAACCAACATTTTGACATGAAAACCATACCAAAAAAGAAACGACTCACTGCGTCACAAAAATGCTCTCTCAAGACGATTTGCGCTATTTATCACTAAACTAACACTTACCTGAGATTTGTCGAAGTTTTTGATAGCATCAGCAGCACCAAGAATAGAGTAATCATCGTTCAAGGAAGGCTGTTTTACATTTCTAGATATGATATTGTCAAGCGTCCATCCTTGGTGTGTTTTGCTTGTAACCAACAGAGTCCATCCACCACCACGACTTGTCAGGTCACAGTACGTCTTGATTGGTTGTTTACCAGGGGGTTTGATGGTGTAAACACCGTCTGAAACGATGAGAAACAGGGATGTGTTGATTGATAGGTGGATGAATGAAGAATGGATGGAGACTATAGACAAAGTTTAAATTTTGGATGGAATTGAAGACGTTTGGCCTCCTGTGAGAGATCACTGTATGTATAGAAATGTTTGGCGTTCTATTACCAAACATCTCTCGTTTTTTTTCCCTTGCTGTAAAAATGATTTTTTTGTATATATAAAATATTTGATTGTTCAAAGCTATTTTTACTACCCTCGTGTGAATTCTTGTGGGATGAATAGCTGATGAGATTGTGTCGGTATCAGGATATCTACACTCTCCTCATACCATCACGTCTCACGTGAACGCTCAGTAGAAAAAAGTGAAGATTTTATTATGTTGGCGCTTGTGGGTCCTCTTAAGTTTTAAACATTTGATGACGCCAGGAATGTGTAAAAGATGAAGACGTAAAACCAAAAATGGTGGGCATTTTGTTCATTGGATGGAAGCGAAAACGTTCAGTTTTCGATAGCAGTTTTTTTCCCGGAACCCAAGATATCAAATACAAAACAATAATTATTACTTTTGATGCCAAGTTTATGCTTATGCATACGTGTCAGCACTTCCATGCAAGATCTTGGGTATATSCGGGGACCCTCACGCATCCAGTACCAAATGACGTTAGGGTTCTTCTCTGTCATGTGACCATTCATCCATGGGGCTGGATGGTAAGCTGTGCTGTCGGCTACAATAGGCAATGCTTATTCTAAGTTAAATCATCACTATTAGATGGAGTTGTCGTTGTTTGTTTTGGTTAGGGGGTCAGCCGAAGTAGATCACCTGTTATCATAGCAACACTTTTTATATCCTATACCACCAAGCACCTTTACACAATTCATAGAATTTTTACCGTCCCATACATATATCTGAGAGAAGGTATTGTGGGAAATCAAATAGCATGGATATAATTAGCTTTTGAGTCAAATCTGGGGCATAAGATTATCAACCTTATATTCTTATACTCGTTATTACAGCCAGTCCCTGATTGTAATTTGTACCACGTGCAGCAACTGGAAACCAGAMYAAGRACTGCTGTACCTTGTATCCAGCTYCTTCTACCTTGTTTCCAGTTACTTCTACATTATTTCCTGTTACTTCAAGCATTCGTTTMCTKGAATAWGCAGAATGGATAGCGAACAAAAGTTGACATGATGGMCTGCATGAGTCGAGAGYTAAGATCATCAGAGTTCGTGTCATATTTTYCTAAAAATCGACGKGCTASATYTACTTTAYKRRAGTCCTTCTRAGACAGCCTTACCAGCTATAGTACCCCACCAGTTTGAGTAAGCATATGATGAAGTTGTTAGTCTTGCATCCTTTACCCAAGGCATTCGTTTTTCAACTCCACTGTCACGATAGTCCCAGTCATCYAATTTRTTRGTCAGACGGACATCAGTTTGTTTGTTTGTKTTGGAAACYAACGTGTATTTTCMAGGYAARTGCCAWATTCCWCCCCAATGACCTAGAAATATCGATGCATTCATTATTATTAAGACCTATTAAGGCCGAATTAGACTGCACAACTTGCAACCTTCGAGTGAAGAAAGAAAAATACCTCGTGTTTCCGCCTCCAGACGATATTCAGCGTTATCGCCAGCAACATTGATGTCGTCCTTGATGTAATCAGCGTATTTCAATATCGAGTAGTCAGCTGATAAGGACMGGGAGTCCTGGTTCCTAAGTAAAATAGTAGTGTTTTTCCACGTGTTTGTCTTACTAGTGACCAATAGAGTCCATCCTCCACCATCACGTGACATGTCACAATATGCTTGGATGGGAGGTTTCGAAAAGCCTTGTGGGTAGATTGCGTATACTCCGTCGGAGTAGATTTGATTCTTTGCTTTTGTGATGGCTTGGAGATCACGGCACGAATGTGCCTCTATGAAAACAGTTATTAAAATATAATGGAATATGTTTTCACGATTTTATAGAATGAATCTTCCCTTCTCTTCTTATACTGAAATGGCAATGGTCAACTGGAATCAATTTCGTCCTTTTGTTTATGTTTCAAAAATACAAACACTCTGTAATATAAGCAAAAAGCTTCTTACTTTTATTATCCCTTAATACTCTTCGGATYATATTTTAAGATTCGACGTTAAAACCGATGGATGGAAACGAATTGAGAGTAGACTTTATTTGAAGTCACCTCACCTTTTTGAAAAATCAAAATTAATGTCGGTGGTCCATGGCCCTTAGATAAGTCATTATGTTTCTTTCAGAAGTTTAGTCTTTATTTTTACGTAAAATCTTATCAAATTGAAATGTAGAAAGCTAAATCAAAAGGATGATCCTTTTCAGTTCAAGAGAGAAAATGTTAAGCGGATTACGGTTTGTTGCATTGACACSAATAGATCAAGGAAAATCATAGTGAACTGTGGTCTAGCTTCAGCACAAAGAATGCTTTGGCAGCATGAACAAAAGATGTTTGAATCTAGACCACAATGCAATGTAAAATGCTTTCTCAAAAAGGGCTTTTGTTCGCAATTGAATTAAATTACAGAAAATTATTGAAATCATATTGGTAATATTAATAATAATGGAAATATGTCTTTTTTATATTATTTTCTTACTTAGGCAAGCGTCAGTATTACACGGCTGACTTTGTTTTCTTTCTCCCTTGCAATCATTCCCACCATGCTTTGGAAATGGATTACTACATCGGCGATAGCGATACTGCTTTCCAGTGCCACACGCTTCGCTGCACTTACTCCACGTYGTCCAGTCACTGAATCCACCATTGATTGGAAGCAGAGCTAAAACACAGTTTAGTATTATATACTTTAATGATACGGTAACCTTTGAGCATAGGAAGCTTAAGGAAAAAAAAATCCAATAATATGTAACGTATAAATGATATGAAATTTTATATGTCATGTCAGCTATTTTGGATTAAGAAAAACCTCTTCATTTCAGTTTCTTATCTTCATTCAGTCAACATGGTGGCGATAGCTTTATACTACATTTCTCATGGGATTCTTAACATGTGGTTACAAGCCAAGAACACAGTATGCTGCATCCATCTTAAAAATTATTATCTTTGATGTATCATGTCATATTTCATACCCACAATTATTTAAAGAAAGCTTGCATTTTATTTCGAATATTTTTAAGAGTAATCGTTGATAAATGGCCAATGCAACCTACCTTTTTTGCAGTGAGTTTTAGGGTCGTATCCTCCATAGCAATGACACACTCCAGAGCTTGTGCAGACCTGTAATAATGAAAAGTAAACGGAATCTTGTTATGTCGCTTTGCATGTTAGCTGGGGTTGACAACAGTTTCCAGTATGCTTACCCCTCTTCCACTGCATTCATAGCCGTCGATTACTGGACAGGATTTGATATTTAACTCTTGAAAAGTCCTGCATTTTGACTTCATGCACATCTAAAGGACGATACAAAAGCAGCTTGATGATTAACTAAGCTTTGGTAGATATACTGCCCATTTACCTAGCCGAAGAACCATGATAAGAACTTAGTACCTTCTTATCGCCGCATTTCGTACCATCCCTAACCATTCCCTGACCGACATTGTCTGTCTGCTTAAGAATAGCTCCACTGCAAAACAGTCAATAAGTAGAATAAACACCTAAACAACTATTATCAACTGGCATCTCTTATGTAGTTTGCTTATGGTAATAGGTAAGCCAAACCTTACTTTTTAACATCCATTTATGTTCTCTGATATTGTAAAGTTCAAACTTAAAACCGACGAATGGAAAAGTAGCCCGAATGAATATTTGAAGTCACCTCATTTTTCATTACCATAAAAACTTTGAACACGACCGCAAACGCGAACACGAAATAAATATATACATATAGTGTGTGTTATGATCATCTTTTTATTCCACATTAGTTCGTTATCACAAATAAATATAACCACATCATACCTGCATTTGGAGGAGTCTTGCATTACAATCTTCTTGTAGCTTTGTCCGTAGTCAATTACCGGCCTGTTTGCTTGGGATGAGCATTGAAGTTGACCGCAAAACACATCCCTAAAATGAAGCAAATAATAAAATCGACATAAGAGTTATCCGACTTGATTCACATGAGTTCTGGCCTTATATCCCATATGGCACTGTACCTCTGATCTTTTAGAGTTAGACCTTGTTAATCCGTTCAAAAAGTGTCCCTACTAACAGTGTGGTCTTATTGATTGGATATTAACCGAATAGAAATGTGCGGTGATGCCCGTATTAAGTGGGTGGCCGTAAGGTGTACTGCCACTGCATTTGATTCTTTGTTCATTCCTTGATTATATTTTTGGAATYTCAATAACTTACTCTATGGCACAGGTTGAGTTGGACGCCGCGTCACAGGTTCCATAACCTTTAGCCTCTGTGTTAAGGGTATTCCAGCATGCTTGAGAAGCACTATCAGTGGCTGCTCGATAAACATAAAAGAAATATTGGATGAAACTACAAGACAAAACAAGTGATGTTGGATAGGGCAATGCAAAATATATTACTAACAATAGACCTTTTCTGAATTACAGAATCATAGTGCATTGTGGTCTAGCTTCAGCATAAACAACGCCATATTTGGCACCACGAAGAAAAGATGTTTGTATCTGAACTTAGACCACTTGCTTCATAATCTGTCTTTTGCAGTGAGACCTCGTTCATATTGCAGTATATTGTGAGGTCTAGCTTCAGCACAAACAACGCCATGTTTGACACAACGAAGAAAAGATGTTTATACTGAGCTTGAACCACAATGCAACGCAAACTGCTATCTCAGAAAAGGCCTATGACATCAAAGTTACTCTGCTGTTGTTAACGCTGCCATTGTGATTGCTATCGTTATCATTGCTGTAGCGATTGCTCTTGTTGCCGTCTAAGTAGAAAAAAGCTAGAGGCAATTTACTGGTAAACTTACCCGGTCCCCAGAGATCTCTGCACTCAGTGTCACGTGTTTCGGCGCACTTTCCAAGATAGCAGTACGACTATAAATAGAAAAAAAAATCGATTGATTGTTGATTTAAAGTGCATGCTGTTGATGACGAAGCAATATTCCTGTTTCGAGATCCTATTTATCCAGCTTTAACCTCGAAAGCATGTAATATATTATTCTTATTCAGCTGAGATCCTATTGTAATATGCAAACACTCTGGGTACAAAGGAGGCAATACAAATTTATTACAAATTTATGCTTGATTGAGCTTGCATAAAAGAGAATTCAAAACTTGAGTATTTTCTTTTTGGATGACCTTCTTTTCGTATTTATGTGTCTTGTCGCTATTATATTATGTTTGCTAATAGTGCTAAGGTCGCTAATAGTGCTAAGGTCGCTATTGACTTCGTCGTTAATATCATTGCTGTTATTTAAATTGTTCTAGTCATTGCTGCTTCTGCATCGCTACATCGCTTATTGCCTCGTTTCTCGATAATTAACCCTTACTTATTGCGTCTGTATATCATCAATGTACATTCAATATGTATTACTAGTAATTTTATTCGTTCTTCTTGTTTATATTTTCTTACATTTGAGTGATTCTTATCACCACTTTCACTGTATCCTGTCCACCGCTGACCATCTTGACTGTAGGACAGATAGTATCCCGTCACCCAATCATACCACCAGGTGCCACGCCCTTGAGTTGCAACTCTTGTTATCCTCATCGTCTGATGATAAAGTATTCAGTATGATAATTACCATGGTAACACAGGATGCTTATTAGAAACGTTCTTCGCGAGAGAATTACAGATTAATTTTTGGACAAATTTATTTAATAGCTTTCTTCACGACAATTCCCTGCGCCATCTTGAAAGGTAGTCTTTACATCGAAGCGAGACAACCTTTGAGCATGCAATGATAGAGCGGATTTCGCATGACTGTGCAAAAAAGAAAAGTCCTAGAAGGCGAGGTTCCGTGACCTTGCCGTGCCGTGTCCGTGCTGTGATCCGTGCCGCTGCACAGTCATACGAAATCCGCTTCTAGAAATACCTGTGAATAATTGTCTGAATAGGTGCGAAAGAAGATTTCTATCATTGCATGCTAAACGGTCTTCTCGCTTCTTGCAAAGGCACGGCTACCTTTCAAGATGTCGCAGGGTACGTGATGAAGGCTATTATTTCCTCTTCTACCTTGCCAAGATCGATCTGTAGATGTTGGTTTTTATCATTGTGTCGAGTACACCAGTAGCTTCCATTATGCAGCCGTGCGTAGAATGGTTTGTCGTTTGATCTGTAAGACGTAGCGGTAATCTGACTGTCGCTTATTGTTCCGTCTTGAATACCAAGCGGACGAATACAATCTGTACGAGTTATTTTATTAATAATGAAAGAACATAAGGACATCAGGTACCGCACCACCGTCCTCCCAAGTCAACTCTTTTTCCTTGTTTTGGCTTCCTTTACAGCGGCCGTCTTGTCCGCTAGAGATTTTGTCCGTGCAAGAATGTTTTTTAGGACTTCATGTGCGCATTTTTTTTTTGTAAGATTACAAATCAAAGCTTTAGTGCAGATTTTTCAAAATTTTGCCAAATTTTTTTCTTAAATCGAAATTTCCTTATGGATAGCCCCTTACCAGGTTTGATAAACCATATTTCAAGCCGAGTTACGTCACATCCATCGTAGAGTACAAGTTTACGACCATCACCAGGCCTGCCCCCTCTTGGATGGATACACTTGCCGCTCTTGACATGTTTTAAGGAGTTTCCTGCGAAAAGACTTTGATCAGTAGTGGGAAAACACTATCTCAACGTAACTACAAGTGGACTAGTGAAACTTTTTAACAAACTCKTTAATAATTCATGAGATACTACRCCAATAAGGGCTGTCTATTTGGTCAAGTGATTGACCTTGTATATCAACATTAGTGTTGTATCAGATTRACAACACGGTCGTCACCATTMAGATAACTCAACACTYGTTRTCATTTTTAATATCGCATCATAGACCTTCACRAGGTTTTGAAGCAATCAAAGCAGATAACAACACCTRCTTATCCAACAGATGGCTTGCTTTCCATGTGMGATGAATAATTATTCAAAACACCCAATATATCGGCGAGTCAACGAATGAGTGACAATRAATTACCTGGTGTTCTCACAAACTTGGAATTATCGTCCTTGCACGTGCTACTGATCACCAGTCTATCGCTGTTGGATGGTGTTTCACTCTCTGGACAAACACGACGTTGACTACACTCATGCCATAGGACTCCGTTAGCGTCCAGTCGAAATTCCTGGTATTTTTGATCGCATTTGTCATGAGATCGAAAAAT